GTAGGTGCCGGCGGTCTCTCCCTGGAAAATGGAAGCCCGAGTGGAAAGACGGGGCGGGGGGAGGCAAGGGGGCGCGGAGAGGGGAAGCTGGATCTGGCAGCGCAGGGCAGCGCAGGGCAGGGCAGAACCGCGCGAGAGGAGCGGCGGTTTGGAGGCGTCCTTCGTGGCCTCCCCGGCTCCTTGGGGAGAGGGAGGCTGCCATGGTGAGAGCGCGTGGCTCGTAATTAAAAGCAGCCTGTTGTTGTTTGCGGCGGTTGTCTCAGCAGGAAACGGGGCAGGCGTTTTGCACTGGCATGCGAAGGCTACAGGCGGGGGGGGGGGGGGTAACCAGAGGAAGGAAAGTCTTTGGGGATCCGCGTCCCATAGTTGCCCCTTTTCCTAAAGCTGCAATACTGCCTTCTTTGAGGTTTAAATCGCTCTCCTTCAAAGTCCTGTTTGGGCATCTTGGGTGTTTTCTTCCTCCTGCAACTAGCTTGGTTTGTTTTAAAATCCCCCCTCTAGTCCCGGAGGACTTCTGTCTTCCTCCCAAACAGCTTTGCCAAAGGTTATTTTGCTTTGGGTTTCCATTCTTTATGGCTTGTCAGCCCACAGTGGCCAACATGAGACCTGGTATTGCTAAACCTCACATGGGATGGGGGTTGTAGTGAGCTTGTATTTGGGGTTTTATTTCTGTGAGCCGCCCGGAGTCATGTGAGGGAGTTGGGTGGCCATAGAAATTGCATGCATGCATGCATGCATGCATGCATAAATAAATAAATAAATAAATAGGGTGCTTGTCTGTGAAGGAATCCAACTCCCCCCCAGAATCACCCCAGGGTTATTTTTGTTGAGCTATGCAACAAAATTGCTCTGTGCAGCTAAGTTCATCTCAAGTGACACGAGGCAATTAGACTACCAGGACTGAGCGGACCCCAGACAAGCGACTCTCACCTCCCCCCACCCCAGTTTTGAGTATGTGCCATCAAGTGGGCGTTAACTCTTAGCAACTCCCCAGTACCTGCCCAAATTTATGTTCTGATCTCTCTTCCCTCCCACCATGCTGCTTGCTTCCCCTTCTGTCCCAACCATCCCACCTTATCAGGTGACCAGAATGGAAAAAGCCATTTGTCTTCCTTTCTGTTCTGAAAGGTACATGTGCTTGACAATTTATCTCAGGTTTCTTGAGGATAGGAGGAGATAGACAAACAGCCCCCCACCTTTTTGTTCTCTTCCTCTTCTTCCCCTCCTTCTTGCATCTCTCTAGCCTTCTCTTTTCTCTTCCTTCTCAAACAGCAGCTTGAACAAGATGGCACTACCTGGAAGACCCCAGTAATAACTGTGACCACCTTCAAACCTGTTGACCTCAAAATGCTGAGCAACAAAATCACAGTCCTGTCCTGAACTGCTACAGGTCCTGCAGTAACAAAATGAAGCATAAAAAGTCATCTCATTTCCACTCCCTGTGAAAGGGATTAAAAAAACAAACAAACAAACAATGATTGTACACCCACCCACATCCCTTCTGTGTTCTTATTTCATCTTGCCTGCTCACATGCCACCACCCCAATCCCAGCACTTCCTACAAGGGAGCTGAGAAGGTATTAAGCAACCTTTCTCCATGAGAAAGCTGAAGTGCACGAACTGGACAGCTTGCTGAGGGAAGAGTTCTTGCCAATGGAGATATGGGGCACACAGAAGCCAAAGGCTTCACTGTTACCAAAACATAGAGTGGTCTGAATCATATAGGTGAGATTTTGGACATAAAAAGACCCTATGGAGAAGTAAACCTACAGGCCTCTGTAAACAACACAAATGGTCCCAATTTGCCATCAGTCTGTGGAAAGCACTGAAAGCCACTGTTCTGTCACTCTTGGCAGAGCTTGAACCTGATGTTTCCTAGAGTTTAGCCCTGTTCATGTGACAAGTCCTACAAGACAGAGCAGCCTTCCCTGACCTGGCCTGTATTGGGCTTCATCTTGCATAATCATTGGCCAACATGCTAGGCAGGCAGTTGGAATCCAACACATATAGAGAGCTAGGTTGGAGGAAGGTGATGATTCAGCCCACTTCCCTGACCTGACAAGATTATTTTGAATTTTGTTTTTGTCTTCTAGATTATTAGGTGTTCCACCAAGGTTTGTATCATCTGCAGGTGTGATAAGTGTCCCCTTACTTCTTTCGCAAAGTCATGAATGAAATCTAGAAGAGTATCAGACTCAAGGTTGAACCTTGTGGTGTCTTGTTTGATGCCTTTCTCCAGGTTTCATTAGCTGTCTCTGAGTACAGTTTTCAAGCCAACCATGGATACACCTAATAGGCAACCATCAGTTCATATTTATCTACTTTGCTAATCAAAATGACATGAGGTATCATGACAAACAATTTGTTGAAGTCAAGATATATTATGTCCATGCCATTCCCCTAGTTCAGGCAGATGAGACTTCATGGTGTTTTAAAAAATCCTACACAGAAATCCCCTTTGGTGCA